CCAGTTGATCAATTTCATCAGTCCACCACATTTTGCTGCTCTTTCTTTTTCTTGGCTTCCCAATGCTTCCTCTGTTGCTCTATGAATGCTCTCCAATATGTTCTTATATATGTCCTCAAATTCTTCCAGTTCCTCCATTAATTTCTCGTTTAGTCTCTTCTGATATAAATATTTTACACTGTCGTGTATTAAGCTTTCAAGGTTGTACTTTACCTTCTTAATTTTCTCTGTATTATGTTTTTCTCTTTCTTTAGCACTATGGGTTTTGTGTCTGTAGGGCAGGAAGATTTCAGATCTAAGTAGGTAGTGGTCCGAATGGCTTCCCGTTCCTTTGAGCACTCTTACATCATTTATCTTGATGTTACTGCTTTGTCTGGTAATAATATAATCGATTATTGATTTTAGATTTCGACTTGGTTGTACCCACGAATACTTGTGAATTTGTTTATGTTTAAAAAATGCATTTTTTATCGTTAGATAGTTATATTTACATATGTCGATTAACCGGGTACCGTTATCGTAAATACCAAAAATATACAACAGCAAAAATTTATTTATGAACCACCTTGTATAGTGTTAATTTTCGGAAATTAGAAAAAAGAGGTCGCGAGACGTACCGTAATATATATGTATATGTATATATATGAGTGTGTGTATGTATGTATGTTTATATATTATACCCATGTACTCTATAAGCCTTCTCTACACTTTCGTTTATATTCAAACATACCAAATCACCTTTTACTTCCATAACATCTCAGTATTAGAGTGAACGGTACAACAGAAACAACGTACAGGAAAGAAATTAGGAAATCTCTTTCACAAATATCAATCACAAATAAATCAGGTAAAAATTTACATTTATAACACATATAATCTAATTGTAATATAGTATATATAATCTCTTCAAAATCTTTATGACACTTAAGAATCTTCGAGTTTGAATAATATCCAGAACAATTTGAAATTATTGTCATATCTTTAAACTGGTTCGATATACATATATATGTATGTCTCGAGCTTATCGTTACAATTGTCGTGATTGCCAAATTCAATTTTGATATTAATAGACTTTAATTTTGCACAACCAATTTTATATTAGTTATTTTGCAGAGATAAAGAGTTACATTAATTTAATCCACAATACTCTGATTTTCATCGTATTATTTTTAACTTACATTCATGATTTAAAAAAAATATAAAGCAAATTAAATTAATATAATAATGTGATAAACATTAGTTTTTTTTATTTAAGACGTTTAAGACGCATTTTAAAGAACATCTTGTAAAATGTTCACTCATCACGAAATATATTACACGATTTTATTTATTGTCGTGGGTAGTATATTCGCTGCTAATTGTCCAAATAATGAGACATGCAAATGCACATCAAATGAACTGGTCGAAATAAATTGTAAAATGAACGATTCTTCTATTAAAATTCAAATTAGACCAGGCCAATTTATGAGGGTATGTATATGAGTCTCTTTAAGTCACAAGTGTTCTGTATTTTTACATGTATATACTTGCAAAATTTGTGCGCTTCTTAATACATACAGTCAATACTATTCCTAAAATTTAAATTTACATAAAATTTAATAAATGATAAATTCAAATATAAGATAAACAAATTTGTAAAATCAAGAAACATATTACTACTCAAATATCAAAAAATGGTGATTTTAAATATTTTGTTTAATTTGTTTTAAAATAAATAATGTAAAAAGCTCAGGTAATTTACAAAATTAACTAAAAATACAAAAGGATCGTAAAGAACCATAATGCAAATTCTTCGTGCAAAGGTTATTGTATTCTCATTTGAAATTATTTTCAAACAGCATATTGTTCGGATAATTAAAATGTATTGTTAAAATTGTG